AATACACATTATCTTATTTGAAAGAGACAGCAGCTTAGTGGACACACGCACTTCGAGGTAAAGTGAGAGAACACTTCATCTAGGATATTGTGTTTCGATAACCCAGCACGAATCGAACCAAACGAAAGCTGCTTCAATTCCTGAGCGCCAAGCTGTAAATTTACGTTCAGTCCAGTTCAATCCACAAATACATAACCGACAATCGACCGACCTTGTCAGCAAGCCTATACATCGATTTTGGCGAGCAGTAGATGCGATTGGGGAGTAATGTTTGATCTTTACCAGTAGCTTTAGCGGACGACGATTTCAAGGGCCCGAAAGAGATTTCGGCAGTGTAACAGTGGTATATCAGAGCCTGCAGACTGAAATAAGGAGTGTCAGCACGCGTACTCTCGTATACTATACCACAGATTGATACTTACGTCTTTAAAGCAACACCGTTTATTTGGATGGCACGCACGGCGCTCTGAGTTGGATGGTAGGCAGGTGGAGGGCCATCCCTTGCGTTCGATTTCGAGTTATGAACAGGTACCTCGTGTAAACAATGTGTTTGTGGGCGCTATGGTTGCACAAGTCCAGGCGTGAAAGAGGGGAGTAGATCGGTATCGCGGTGCAGGCTATGCGCAGCATAGATCAGTAGGTATCATCGGTGGAACTGTGGAAGAGAGCAAATTTAGCCAACTTGGGCCTTGAGGTTGTGCTTCTGTGAGGAATTGCAAGGGCGATTGTATGTGTTTGCATTGAAGTCTTACTATAAAGAGTGGTCCAGCACGGATCATACCATGCTTAGCGAAAATGTCAATCGTATTATGATCCTGGGGTCCAATGACATTGAGAGGAATGCGATGGCACGCACCATCGGAATCAGCTTCCCACTCACCAGCAAGCTCTAAGTCGTCGAGCCCCGTCCTAACCACAGGCGCCAAATGACATGCCTTATCACCATGATGTAAGCGCCGGCGTGCCAGTACGTGATGGCTGATCAGTTTGGTTGGGCAGAGGCTATTATTTGCGATCACAGCATTAGGAGGCAGATACAACTTCTTGCCAAATTCACCGAAATTCCCATGGCGCAGAAGTAGTGCAGCGATCCTCAAAACAGCATAACCCAGACTTGTCGAGTTTGGGGCAGGTGAGTTTGAGAATGGCCGTCAACACAAATCGAGAGGTCCGAATCCATAACCACCCGTCTGCGGTCAGGATCCACGAGCATAGATGAACAGTGACGAAGACGGCGCTATGCAACCTGATCCTTGTCTGAGTCGCATTGCAGAGGAGAAAGCTTGTCTCTGATTTCTGACTTCTGTAGATGACCCTACAACACGATGGTGTCGTTCGCTTCAAAGAGGAACTCAAGTACGGAATGGCTAGCGAGGGGATAGCAGAAGCTCGCCAATGGGAATACTCGCAACTGCACGTCACATACATCACTTAGACTTGACCGTCAACAGATAGAAGCGTATACTACTTACTCGTATGAGAGATCGAGGTCATGGCGGCTGTGGAAAGAAATGGAACTGCCAATTTTGATATCCTTGCGCAGATATCATCAGCCAGTCGAAGATAGCTTTGATAGATTGCCTGTCTCGTCTTCTTCGAGGCCATCCACTCAAACCTTATACCATAGGCAAAAAAACTCGGCTAGGTTTGGATTGTTCGAGGTTTACAAACCATACGACCCGATGCTTGTCACCATCATCAGCGCTGGTACGACTCTGGCGACTCCTCCTTGGGGTGCGCCGACAGCCCCATTCCCCGGGCACAAAATCCTCGAGGAAGGCAAGTGTCGTCGGCACGTCGGCGTGGGCGTTGGGGGACTCGAGCCAGAGTTCGGTGTGATCATTGGTTGGGCGGGGAGAGGGACGCGAAAGGTATTATGCAGCGTCCAAGTTTTCCCCGTTAAGTAATCCTACTTTGATATGCCAGTGTCATCGTCTTGCTGTACCGCGAGGATGGAGTTGGTTACTTCGGTGTGGGGGCGTGAGTACAAGGCAGATCTGGAGGGACGGTGGAGAGAAATCCCCAGGTCTAAAGTACATAGAGGACGGCGGGTGAATACGAGACTGGAAAGAAGACGAGACGAGGAACACGGCGCTTGGACTGCACTAACCGGCGCATAGACCAAGCAGCGAGCCTCGCGTCGCGAGCGACAAGGTGTATTGTCGACTGACGAGATCTCCGGCCAATCTCTAGCGGGAGGAGCTGGGTCAGTCAGAGGACAAAAAATATTGATTGGGGTAATGTCGCATTGAGGCAGGGTTGAAACGATGGACATATGTGGATTACGTAATGTCATTGGATGCTTGAACTAAGTATGCCATCAGACCGATCTGCTCAACGAAGCCATTGTATACTGTATACTGGCCACAATCTTTGTCTATCCTATCAATTAATCCTGCCCCATAACACGTTCTGACATGATAGCCTTCACAAGGAACCTGGGACGATTCCCAGGTTCGTTCTTTCGTTTCTTGTACATATATCAGCCCGGCGATGAACGCCTCAGTTCGACAATCTTCACAAGGTGCCACTCTTCCTGATGATGTTGTCACTGCTATCACGACTCTCCATAATTACGTCTCCGCTGCACTTTCAATGCCTCCACAAGTGATTGTCACCTGTCGGGAGGAGCGACGCGCATTCGGGCGATCCGCATTACAGGCCATGAGTTATAGAGCAAGTTGCATGTTATCATGCCACTTATTCGGAATCCAGCTGATGAACAATATGTCATTCCAGAAAGCGGTGGATATGTTCATCAGTAGATTTGCTACGAAAGACGATTGGTGGATCTCAGAGTTTAGATATAAGCCAGAGGTCTCGATTTACGGTCGTTTCTATCGAACTCACGGAGAGGACGATGAAGGACTTATTTTGCTGGACGAGCGAGGCTGGTCCGAACTCGTTGGCAATGTGGTCAAATTGACCATCGTCTTTACTTCCTTAAAATTCTCGGTCACTGCGTAAGCCCCTGCTATATCTTCGTTGAATCTTCCTGTTTTCTTGACCGCCTATACACAGGCAATCTTCGTCATGAAATTTGAGGGACGAAGGGCGCTATTGCGTTGTTTAAATTATGATCGGGCCCATAAGCATGTTGAGACTCGAGGATTTTATGATAGTTGGTTTGTACATTAATGACCTGGGAGCTCAATCTGGTATAACATATAGCTTACCACCCAGGACGCTGGACACAATATGGATAGAGAACTTCTGTTCTGCCAAAGACAGAAAAACATATCATTGATACGGTGTACGAACCTCGTATGCTAAAAATTATAGGTGTGGCTTACACCACTATCTAGAAAACCATCATAGCCCGTTGTTCGTGACAAGAGGCATAGTGCTGCTAGCGAAAGCGAAGCCAAAGAGTTTACTCTCTGCCAGACGATAAATGTCTCTTCCATGTGAGTTACGAGTGGAAGGGTGATAAGGAATTGGCAATGAGCGAAAAGAACTGGAGGCGAATATTTTATCACGTCCGGGAAATGCCGCCCGGGATTTGTTTGGTCTTGCTGTTCTACGCTGGCTGTGTGCCACCTTCCTGTAGTTTGTACTGCACATCATAACTACTAACTTCTGGATCGTTATTGTAATAGTCAGCGCCAAAACC